ACCACGACGAGCCCTCGCTATCTACCGAGTATATTACGCAATAAATTATTGCTGTTTACTTTTACTTTGCATACATCCTGCTTGCAGACTCTCTGCACGTGCTAAAAGCAGTGAAGTAACATCAAATTAACTGCAGTGCAATTAATATACAACCCGGATGATCACATAGTTTTCAGCTAGACCCAACTGTTTTGTTATTGGTTAGGGATCGGCTGGACCCAATTGTCCAAGGATAGGAACGTGCAGTGGCAAAATTGCTATGAAAAGCACATCAGTGTTAGTGTATTGGAAAACAGCCTCTGGAGTAGGAAAGCACTAATACTGCACCAGTTGACATATGGAAGGTTAAAAAACACATCTGTTCAAATATATAGAGAAATCCAAGTTCTGCAGAAACATCCACCTTAAGCGCACAGCCTGGTGGCAGGAGTTCCACGTACACCAAACATACACCAAACATACACTTCTGTTGCGGTTCCTGTCGAACTGTGCCAGGCATGTGCTACCTCCAATATTATTGGAGAGAAAGTCACTAACATAAAAGGAAGAATATTCTCTATGCATACTTTATATAGAAGCACGTGTAAAATACATACACTTCAGAGTTTCAGCACCTAGAATTTGCTCTCACACATCTGTGAGACATGTCATTTATTGACTAAAGTAACAAAGGCAGCGCTTGGTGTCAATGTAACTGCACTGAAGTTGAGTAAAGGCTCAGAAAACTAATAAATCCAAGATAGACAAAGGTTTGATGAAGAGGGACAGGGAAGGATGTGCTTTTCTTTACTCTCCATCTGACCACATAGCTATATATTCCCAATCCCTCATCACAACAAAATCTCTTGCCAAATACCGTTCGTTTCACTCCTCCCCTTTCCATTGTATGTTCACACAGCCCAGACACTCCAATTTAATATCGTAACCTCAGACAAAGAAAGTCAAATTGTACACCCTTCCATACGTTTGCCTTCCTGTGAAGAGCCAGATGTAAAGTCTTCCCTTTTGTTAAAGAATACCTGAATCCCAATGTAAAAACAATACAGGACTCATGATATGCCTTTTAGCACTTAAACAGTTTACACTGTGCAAGGTGACCCCAAAAAAACCACCACACATTTACAATGGTTCCCCTGAATGAGATGGAATTCAATTCCTCCATAATCAAAGGAGAAGCAAGGTACTATTAAACTCTTTATCGACTTATATTGTAGGTATCATTACAATAACTTTTCACGAGAGCTACCTTATAGCTTCTGCAGATGAAAAGAAATAGAGACATAGTTAGTAGTTAGCGATACTAGCTTCAACTACAGCTGAATTGAGCTACATTTCAGTAATAAATTTCTATCAGTTTTTGTTTTCAAAAACACGATTTGAAATTTTCAGCCCCTATTAACTGAAAGAAGGCCACACTAAAGATTTGATATTATGGAAATAGATTCATTCATAATCCCAAAACACATGGCCAATATTTCTGCTCTCTAGTCACCACTTAATAAAAGAAAGCACCATTTAATGATATCACTGAAGAACCACAAGAGCTACTCTGTTCATTATGCTAAGAGTCCAAGAAAACATCCATATATGAATATTGGTCTATTGTGTAGTGCTGTACTATTTCATGACAGAACACAAGATATTAAAAACAAAATGAATCCTCTACCACAGTTGGCTTTTTCAAACTGTAAAAAGTAATCTACACAGCACTGGACCAGAAGCTCTACGTACCTTCTGTGCAACCTTTGGACTAGTGTCCCAAGACTGAAGAGGGCTTTTCATTTCTGAACTTCTCCCCATAATATTGGGGCATTTTTCCAAACTCATAGATTCTTTCTCCTGAAAACTGTCCTCCTGGACTCTGTTACATAGCTGGTCTGAATCACTGGAGAATTCTCTCAATCTGTCTAGAGTTTGCAAACATATACGGGACTTTTCACACTTCTGAGGTTGTTCTTCTCCGGTAAAAATATACGAAAAAAACACATTAGCACATAT